CTTCTTTCCCATGAAGTAATAATTTGTCAAGTGGTCCCGAGGGAGAGACATGAGATGGTAGTACGTTAAGTTTAGCAGATTAAAGTCCTGCACTCCAGGTTTCAAAGCTACTTCCTACTTTAAAAATGGAGATAGGGTACGTGATTGCCCACACGCTGGGTTGAGGTAAATTTTGAAGGTGCTGGAGAAATGTAATTTTATATACATATAATGGACACTTTTTATATATTATCTTCTATATGCGTGTTCATACACATAAATATTTTCCGACAAAAAGCTACAAGTACACAGCCCTACAAGTATTAAGCAGAATTAAACAAATTGTCTATGTCAGAAATATATACACCCCGAATTAAGAGGACTACTTGTGTCTGCAATAAACGCAAAAAATAATTTTTGTTGTTGGCTTTGTAATTACCCAAACCCATCCTAAATTTTTAGTTTTAAAGACTGTTGGCGAATTTTCAATACTAAATTAGTACGCGTCTTTGGAATCGATTGTAGAGAAAACGGTTTTAATTGGTCAATATTGTGATTTAATATGGAGTTAATGGTACACTTCCGGCTTTATACTATTATATTACTTACAATTTACGATAATTTTTGTGTAATATTTTAGGTCAATATTTAAAAAACATTTTTACTGTGTTTGAGATTTTTAATTCGCAAATACTTAGGAATACATGTATGAATGCATACCAAAACATTTACATACATATTAAAAAAATACTTCTTTTTGACATAATTTTTATATTTTAAAATGTATTTTAAATATTTTTCGGTTATGACATCGCGAAAAATAACTGTATTTGGTATCACGCGGTACCGGCTTGCAATTACTAACTAATAACGCTGCAAAACTGGTATATTTAAATTTGTAGCTACTTAAAAAACATACACGTTTATATATATCTACATATTTGTATGCACATATACATATACATACAATATTAAAGAAAATAAAAAAATATAACTTTCAAAACTTACTTTTTAGGCACGCTCTCTCTTGCGAAGAGATGCATCAGGTAATGTTATGGTTCTAGCGCTGCGCTTCTTAAGCTGCCAAAGTGGAGTTCATTTGTCATGCACCCTTCACTGACTGTCACACTTTCCGTACGACCTTAACACCAACTGTTTTTGCTTGACATACACGAATTTCCCCAACTTTTTGTTCCAATATACCTCACATAATACATACAAAAGCGAAATAGCGTACCGATTTCACAGTTACTTATGTTCGAAAACGTTTAACACATAGCAGTTAATGATTATGCATTTGGTCGAGTTGTTTAATTTTATTATTAAATATTTCTTCGTTTTTTCATTTGTTTTGTTATTTTTTCTAAGATTTTATTTACTTTATGAATTTCACGCACACACACAAATCAATAGCGCACACAAGCTTATATACGTTTATATTGTATATGTATACATGTAAGTATTCCTATTTCTATTTTTTTATTATTATTATTTTTTTTGAACGAACGTGCAATTTGCGCTTTTCACGTTTATAAACTTTTTCCTTCTATACTTTAGAGCGTGTAGGTTTGTATGTTCCTTTTGTGGTTTTGTATGTATGTGTATATGTACGCTAGTAACAATATTGGTGTTGCTTAGTTACTTAGTAAAAATGTAAGCAACTATCGTCCACCCGCTGGACCAACCGTATTCCTGAGAGCTTGTATTGTTACTGCGGCAGCCAGCTGAGCACAATATCGTCCGAACCCTTCAATGCGTCGGGCCAATCAATTCGACAACTTTGCGCGTTTGAGGGGCACAAAAGCACACGACATACACGACGTTAACACAATTGTAATAGCAACAACAATAACTACATGAAATATTGTATGAGATGAATGTGGCTTCGAGCCACCCCAATAGGTGTAGGTAAAGGCGCCTACCACCTCAACACTCACGAATTCGCTCGCTCTCACGGTAGCGCGGCAACTCTCTTCTCAATTTGAAAGGTTGCTGTGTGCATGTGTGTGTCTGCCTGTGTGCATAATATCCCCAAAACTATGAATAATTAATTGTTTGTATGAATATACATAAGCACATATGTATGCATGTATGTACATATGTGTCTACTTGTGTATGTGTGTCGAACATATTGATCGTCAAAAGCTACGAAGTCTCTTTCAGAGTTTTAATAGAAATCTCACACCCACATTCGAGCAAAAGTGAAAAACACAGCCTACATGAGTGAGCACATACATATCTACAATATGTATTTATGTTTGCAAATATGTACTAGGTTGTAACTGCATATACATACATATATATATGTGGATGTACATATGTAATTTTATGAGCAAATGTACTGGTTTATTAATGTATCTGCGAGTTGGACAGGCACGCACACATATATATAGATATATTTAATTATACATATGTTCACTTATTCATTTTCGTATTTAGCATGTTCTTATAACTTTGAAAGTTGCACCATTACTCGAGCAGCAATAGAGGGGGTGAGTATATATGTATGTACATATGTACGTATACATGTGTGTGAAGTGTGTAGATATACAATAAATATTTCATCTGTACACGTTTTGTATTATGTAGATCAACGAAGTCATTATAAAAATATACACATACATATATTTTATTACGATTCTGACGATGGTTACAGGTTCAACTGGCTGTAATTTCACAATTAGAAATTTACATACTTATGTGCATGTATGTACATATATTTATATGAGTATAGAATATGTGGAAAATTTTAATTTCGTGTAATTTACATAATTATTACATACATATGTATGTATATACATATTTATAAATTATATAATCGGCGAAGATTATTCGTCAGTAATATCCTTTTGATATTATGGTGATGAGGTTTTGTTAAGGACGCCATTTTCAACGCTGGCTGATATGCGGATATTAGAAAATCGTTTCAAAATGAAAAAATATCAAATAAGATATAAAAATAAACTAAACTTAGTACAAACTATTATATAATGCACTGAAAAAATCGCTTATTAGAGCTTTAAATAAGCTTTGTTTAGAATTATGAGCACATACTGCGCCAGTAACAAAATGTTCATTAAGCACTTCACCGATAACATACATTTATTTGAAACAACCTCTTGTGGCATGTTGTTAAGTAAATCTATAAACATAAATAAAACAAATATGCGCAAAAAGCTACACGAAGTACATCGGCACACTCGCAAAGCACGTCGGAAATTGTATTTGTTTTTTGTTTTCAAAGATTAAATTTTCCTACGTCAGCGTTAAGCAATTAGTGAATTTAATTCGTCACTCGTTAGAAACAACTATTGAAACAACAACAACTAACCGATACGCGCTTTTATAGCTTTTAAACTATAGCGTAAAACATCTGCAAACTCAAAATTAAATCTGTATGTTATATTTTTAGCGGAACTAGCGGAGTTCAGCTGATAACCGCTTCTGAAAACACCCGATATGAGCACATACATACACACCTGAAAACATACATGTGTACTTATGCTGTAAACTCGAAATTTGATAAAATAACGAAAATTTATAATTTGAATACTCGCAAGTGTCAGTATTTTTATTGCTAACTACAATTTTCGTTCATTGAAAGATATGATATTTTATCACCCTGCGAATTGACGTAGAACTAGTAAATAATTTAAGAACGTTACCAGCTTTCGATATCTCAATGTTTATTTTAAATACTGGCCAGCGGCTCTTGAAAACCCAAAATCCGTTGAGATAGTTCTTACAGACTTAGTGAGACAAGTTCAGGAATGTATAATATCAAGCTTTTAAAGCATCTTGCGTTCCTGTATCATATTATTTGAGAAAGGTTTAGTATATTTGGTGGTCTAGATTTTTTTTACTCGAACACAAATTTGCAGTAATGGAGGTGATGTTTTATAAAATACCAAATTGCACCATAATTTATATGAAGTTATCCGACAAATCGAGAGTTCTACGTGTTAAAGACCTCTTTCGACTATGGTTATGAGATGCTTTTTCGTGACAGAATTTTTTTAGGCTGATCAAAAGGATTTTCCTTGTCAAAACAGAAACATTTTTGATTAGCACTTCAAAGTGGAATAAAATCCATATTCTGCAAAGCGGTAGAAGTGCAAATCTAACAAAACAGTTGCTCAATTTATGTTTAAAAACACATTTTTTGGTTGTCCAACGTTACAGTAGTCAAAATCGGTTCATTTTCGAGAAATCTGTTGACATTGCTTTCCAATAAATGCTTGTCCAACCTTACAGTTGTCAAAATCGGCTCATTTTCGAGAAATCTGTTGACATTACTTTCCAATAAATGGATAAACTGAAAGTAATATTCTGAGCTTGCTAAGAAAAAATCTAATTAGGTTCTTGGGCTGAGTGTATCTCAAATTTAAAACTTTATCCTAAGTGATCTGAAACGGTATATTTAGTTCTTCATCTATCATCTGAGAATATAGTAAATTTATTAGTTCCTTGATTATACAAAATTGATTGAATTGACAAGACGGACGGCCTTGAATTGTGAAATTATTTACTCGTTCTTCATAATCAAATTATGAAAAGATTTTGGGTGGGATTGATGGATTGTTGATCAAAGGAATTTTGTTTACACAGCTTTCCTGAAGATAAAATGGGATAAACTTCGAAATATGGGAAGATCGTTCTCGAAATATTTTTGAAGTAGATTCTACCATCCTACAACAACAATAAAATACGTCCTCCATAACTAAGTAGTTAGAATGGAACAAAACTTTCTCAGAATGAACTTGAGGTGGCGAAAGCTGCCCCAGCGATGAAAGAAATTTAGTTGTAACTGGCGAAAATGCCAGGAGGAGTTTTTGAGGTTATATGCACATATGTATATTTATTCTCCACTTGGTTTGCAAGGGTGATATTATAATTACGTATGTATGTACATATGCTAGTAAAAAGATCGCAATTTTTTACAAGTAACGTGGTACAGTTATACTTGAAAATATTAAGCTGAATGACATTTACCAATTCATGTTTTCTTTGGCACATAAAATAACGAACAGTAACTTAATCGTGATCCACCCCTATTATTGATTTTCCACGTAAAACAACAAAAACAAAAAAAAACATTAAATAAGAGAAAAACTAAATAAACACAAGGGACAATAATGGGACAGCAGCGGTCTGGTCTAGCTGGCTTGGCTCATGCAACGAACGGCCTAAGAAGGGAGCAAACACAATAATGGGAGCAAACAAGCAATCATCAAGCGCTCGGATCTACATAGCGAGGGGGTTGAAAACAAGCGCATTCGTGTATGTATTCGTTTGATGAACAACATCAGTCGCAACGCCCGAGTGCATATGTCAGCAAAAGCCACCACCAACCGGCCGAACGAACGACTGACCGACCAACCGACCGACACACTGTGTATTAACTGGAAATTTTGCCCGCTGCGGTGAGGCCAACGAAAGCCTGAGCGCTTGCAAGGGGAGAACACCAACCTTACTACATACATACATATGGAAATGTATATGAACGACCGCATCGAGCTAAGAGTTTATAGCGAGATCCCCTCACTAAAACGCGGCAACTACAGTCTTTGTAACTCAACGCATGCGTTCTTTGGGCTGCTACTTGCTGGTTCGGCACAATGACAGCTGCAACCGAATAAACCCCCAAGCATACCCAAAGTGCTGGAAATAATAACCCAAGCTATTAGGGGCGAAAGACATGCCACACGTAGAGCGCCGTCTGCTCGACGCTGCCAACAATGCGTACACACACACACACACACATACACCCATTTGAATAAGCTGACAACAAAGCGAGCATAAAAGCGAACCGTTGCCGATGACGCAGACAATGAGGCAATGCATGGAAGCGGAAGGGGTCCGCTCATGCCACGAATCAATCGCACTGCCCAGATCACGTCCCTTTTGTCACGTAGGGTGGCCAGTGCACCCTCTCAATGCAGACATCTGTATGTAACTGACGTTGCACGAAAGGGTGGGTTTGTCGTATGGCGTTGGGGGTGAGGTAAATAAGCGCGTTAACTCAGGGTACGATCTGAAGTTTGTGCTGTAAGTGTACACATACACGAACGCACGTATATATGTATGTAAGCAGTGCGCATTGAGTTTGGTTGCTACGCCTAAAAATATGTTTAATCTGTAGTTTTCGTTACATCAAAAGCATCATTGAAAGGTTGGTTGTTATTTATTATTATTTTTTTGTTGCTTTCGCAATTTGAGAACCCCATCACCAGCTTTTCGCTTCGCAGGCGTTTTGGCGTTGATCCTTGCTGCGGAAATGGAACACCGAAATGTGAAAAAGATTATTTCCATAAGGGTTGCCAGTCTCGGCAGGTAATGAAATACTCAATCATACCATATGCACTTACATACATACATAGAGAAAATACATATGTACATAGAATATTTCCAATGACGCTTTCATTTATTAAAATCCAATCAAAAGTTTCGAACTTTTAGGAACTTAAATTTAAACAGACCTGAGATATATTTCTAGAATTTAAGACACTCTCCGGAGCTCGAATCTTCGTTGTGGTCATTATCTAGTTTCAGCAGCTTTATTATTCGCTTAGTTCGTTGAGGCAGAACGTCGAATGAACGCTTGACCGCCTGATTTTCCAGTGTTAAATGTATTCCCAAATATGTCCCATTTTTCCATCAGCTCTGTTCATTTGATATACATTTTAAGTTTGCCTTACCGTAACTGGTCAAATACCACAACT